ACTTCACAATCTTTTAAGAGACGAGGGGAAAAAAAATAAAAAAGAATTGAAATTCTAAAAGAAATAATTTGATGATGCAAAATGCTACCACTTACACGACACACGAGTAAAACACCCACTGTTATTTGGGAACATGGTTGGACACCATGACAAGAGCCATGTTCATAACTGCTTTCCTAGTAACTGGAAGAAGTCTGAAAGACTCAAAATAGGTCATTATGGCGAAAGTAGATACTGTGTGGACCATTTTTGTTTAGAAGGAGATTTCACATGTATCATAGGGGACTTAGTTTTCAGTTGGGCTATTGTTAAAATTGATGTATGTATTATTGATTGATATCTGATTGATATATGATTCTGTTACACTGATTGATTATATAGATGTAGGTTAGGTGGTGGTAGTGTGAGGAGTTAGGTGAGTGTAGTTAGGTGAGTGTGTGGTAGGTGATGGTAAGTGTGTGGTTAGGTGATGGTAAATTCTAACAGCCCCCGCAAACTCAAGGAGGATAGAAACTAACCAACTTGAGTTTGAAGAGAGGAAACAAAACAAGAAAATACATTAAAAATAAACAAGAAAATACATAAAAATAAAAAAGGATAGGAGACACTGTATGGTCGTGTCAGACCATTGGTGAAGACACTGAATGGTGGTGTCATAACGTTGTAGAGGACACTGTATGGTGGTGTCATAACGGTGTAGAGGACACTGGGATGGCGGTGTCAGACCGATGTAGAAGACAGTTTATGGGTCATGTCGGACCGTTGTAGAAGACAGTTTATGGGGTCATGTCGGACCGTTGTATAAGACAGTTTATGGGGTCATGCTGGACCCTTGTAGAAACTAACCGGAATCAATGTCGGGACAGTTTACAGAGTCTTGTCGGACCCATAAAGGAGCTAAAACCGGAATCAATGTCGGGACAGTTTATAGAGTCTTGTCGGACCCTTGTAGAAAACTAACCGGAATCAATGTCGGGACAGTTTACAGGAGTCTTGTCGGACCCATAAAGGAGCTAACCGGAATCAATGTCGGGACAGTTTATAGGGTCATGTCGGACCGTTTGAAAAAGTTGCACCCTCAAAAGGTGTGCCCAAATTTGTCAAAAGGCGTGCCATCAAAAGGCGTGCCCAATTCATCAAAAGGTGTGTCGGACATATGGCGAGGCACGTGAGTGCCTTGGTTGGCGTGCCGTTTGTCGTCTGGCGGCAAAGTGTGCGCGCGCGATACGCGTGGCTGCCTCGGCTATTTAACCAAGACGAAAGGCTGAGGCTGAGGCATACCATTCTGAAACCTCTGAAACCAACCCTTCTCTGAAAAAACTCTGCCTCTTCGGAGAGAGAAACTGGGGAACACTTTGTAGCCCAGAAAATGGCTTCATCTTCCCGGAGTCTGCTCACTCTCTTCCCGACCTCAACGAGTTCAACAAGAGAGAGAACTGGAGCGGTGGCACTGGAACCTCAACCGAGTGCCCCGGAGTTTACTCCGCTGAACTTTCCGATGCGGTCTGTGGAGCAAAGAATGGCAGTGCGAGTCGGATGTGGAGGCCAATCAGTATACTTTGAAGGCATGTGTGGAAAGCATGACGGCGGTCACAAACTTGTCGAACCGGCTGCAGAGTAGGACAATGAGGTGCAGCAATTAAACTCCCAGCTGGCTCTGCTCCAACGCATGTATAAGGATGTGCGAGCAGAGATAAGCGTGCTAAGGGCAGAAAATAAGGAGCTGAAACGGAAGGCCACCGTGATGTTCCGATTTGGAGGGCCGCCATATGCTGCAGTGGAGGAGCAGGGAGTAGTGATCATGCCCAGTGGAGGGGGAAACACGGAGCAACACCGGCAAGGGCCGCCCAGGACGGAGGCAAGAGGAAAGACCGGCGGCAGAGTAGAGAAGAAAAAAATCCCACCTGTGAATGTGGTTGTTTGTGTGTTTTTTTTTTAATTTTTTATTTATTTTTTATTTTTTGTTTTATTTTTTTTTTTAATTTTTTTGTTGTGGTGTAAAATTGTGATCGGGGTTGATCCCTGAAGAGGAATAAAATATGGTTTGGTAGGCAAAGCTAGATGGGATGAATGGAATTGAAAAAGATTAAAAATAATGTGAAAGAAAAAGAAAGAAAGAAATAATAAAAATATATTTGAAATCAAAAAATGAAAGATGGGGAAAAGAAGGAAAGTGGTTTGGAGAAAATAAATAAAAAATAATGGAGTTTGAAATCAAACGAAGAAGAGAGAGAGGATGTTTTTTTTTTTTTTTTTTTTTTTTGAGATATAATAAAAAGAGATATATAGATATATATATATAAAATAAAGAGATGAAAAGTGGACGGGTGGTTGTGGGTTGTTGTGTGTTGTTATAATAATAATAATAATAATAATAATAAGAATAAGAATAAAAAAATAGGTATGGTGGAATGATGGGTCAAAAACGTAGAATGGAAGAAAATAAAAAAAAAAAGGTGCACATGGGTTGGAAAGAGTTGGAAAGAGTGGGTTAAAGTTGAGAGAGAGAGAGAGAGAGAGAGTATTTTAATCATTGAGAGAGGAAGTGGGGAATCAATAATATAAACAAAAGGGTTCAAAAAAAGAGATAAAAAAAGGAAAATAAATAAAGAAATGAAGAAAAGAGAAAAGAAGAATGGAAAAGTTGGTATAAGATATTGCTCTCTGCTGTAGTGGAATGATATGGGTGGTTCGATCCGGAGCAATGCGTATACTACAGATTTTATCAGCGGTCCCACTCTCAATAACTCATCATCTCCTTCCTCTCTCTTCGCCGGTGTGTGTGGTGGTGTCCATGTAACAAGGTTGTCGGACGCGCCGGCGTCGGCATCGACAACGTGGATCTGGCGGCGGCGACGGAGCACGGTTGCCTTGTGATTAATGCGCCGACGGCTAACACCGTCGCAGCCGCCGAGCACGGGATCGCGCTTCTTACTGCCATGGCTCGGAACATTGCGCAAGCCGATGCTTCGGTCAAAGCTGGGAAGTAGCAGCGGAACAAATATGTGGGAGTATCCCTTGTCGCAGTGGTTGAACTCAGTGTTGACAAAGGTGATGTGAAAGCCTCTTTGCTGGAGGAGTTTGGAGAGCTTGAGCATGGGGTTGATTTGGAATATATTTGACTGTGCCGAAAATTTGCTGCCCAAAATGGTTGGTTGTCTCTCTGATGGAGTTGGATGAATGTGAGAAGACTACACTGCATGATGTTAACATTGAGGACGAGATGCGTCGGAAACAGCAACAGGACCAAGAGGCATACGATGAGGATGATGATATGCATGGTGCTTGAGTCGGAGGATGGAAGCTTGACCAAGGGAGCTTATGTATTGATAGAGATGACAGCGGAATAGGTTGAGGTCCGGCGGGCGGCCAAGGTGAGGTTGCCGCCCGCCGGTGAAGCGAAAATATTAGGTTCTAAACCTGCTCTGATACCATGTTAAAATTGATGTATGTATTATTGATTGATATCTGATTGATATATGATTCTGTTACACTTGATTGATTATATAGATGTAGGTTAGGTGGTGGTAGGTGAGGTAGGTGAGTGTGTGGTAGGTGATGGTAAGTGTGTGGTAGGTGATGGTAAATTTTAACAGGCTACCTAATTGTTTGGCGTATTACCAAAAGGAGTGCTAGTGTGAAGTCCTTGTGGAAAATTACTTGTAGACGGATGGCATGAAGGACTAGATATTGCTTCTATCAGTCTTCTTTACACTTTTTCCCCCTGATCTATCACTGAATATTACTTTACCGCCATAACTTTAAAACCATACATTTGGATCCCTCAACTATAAAAATTGCTTCACTTCCACCCTTCCAAAAGAAGGGTATTTGTACCATTTTTGATAGCTAATGGTTCTCAGTGTACAGTATTGAAGTTGATGTGGTAAAGCGATATTCATTGATAGTTGAGGGGAGATAAAAGTGTAATTAACCCTTCATCTGCAGGACTGGTGGCTTTCTCCTTCTAGACTTCTTATCCAATAACTCATTTTTTTTTTCTTTTGAATTTTTTATTTTATTTAATCAAGAATGAAATTAGAAATTTAGTACACAATTGAATAACGAGAGAGACACCAGGATCAGTTCCGGTTGGTGTTGGATATAACATTTCTCATATTTGGTAATACAACTAATCGGTAGCATTGCATCATATGTTGACGGGGAACTTTTACATAGCTAAATATCATAATTTGATTCATCAATTGAAGTTAAAATGAGTTGCCAGATGCTGAAGTTTACTACATCGGTTTACCAGGGTGAAGTCCTGGGAGGTGTTAATGCCAGGTGATTTTTTGTGAAGCATCTTTTTGAGCGACTAAAATTGCTCTGAATGAAATTGCATCTGACACCCATAATCTAAATAAAATTGTCACAAAAAAAATACACAAAAACAAAAAGAAATTGCAAGGAAGCAGTGGTGTTTGGTCTTCCCTTTAGTTGGAATGCCTCTTCTTTTTAAGTAGATGTATAGGTTCATCCAGTGAGATGGCAGGAAACACTTGATGAATAGGTTTCTTGTTGTAAAGCAAATATCTTTAATTTGTTTGTAACTGTTGGTACTTTATTCAGAATTGAACATGTACAGAAAATGGCTGTTACTGGCTATTATTTGTACAAGCAGTTCTATTTGTTTGTGGTTTTGTCAGATTTGGTTTGCATTTTATTTTCCTAGTGAGATTTCTGATGAAATCTGATTGCAGGGTTGCATCTGTCATATCAAAGATGGGGTTTGTATTCTTGGACCAGGGCTTCTCCAAGTTGCTGGTTCCTGCATGCATCTCAATCAGTGTTTGTTGTAGTGGTACTGGATTTTTTTACCAGGTATTCTAATGCTTGTTTTACAAGCGTCTCACGATGACCATCATCTAACATAAATACCACTCATTTTTTGCTTGTTTCCTATTTCACTTGACATCAATTCCTGTTCGGCATGTACCAACCATGACTCATATTTGTCATGTAGTTACCAGCATTGTCTGTTTTGAGTTTCATAAAACTAGACCACACCACATAGCGTTTTTATTCCAATTACTTGGGGAACCATAGTGATAATTCTGGTGTTATTCCTTTCAAAACAGACACGGGGCTTGAAACATGGGAGAGCAATTGTAGTGTCCGCATGCGCTGCTGTAGCATCAATTGTGACTGGTGTACTTGCTGGTATGCTTGCTTTGGGTGAACGATGGCCTTCAGCACCAATGGCTCGGCTTTCAGTTTTGTTTGGATGGTAATTTTAAATTTACTCCTAGTTTCCACTGGTAGCTTTCTCAAGAGGAATCTAAATCCAATTTTTATTCATGGATTCTTTATGGGTAAAATATCGTATAATGGGGTATTTACAAATCAATGGGAATTTTTTTGAAATTACAATTCAAAATGAGAAGAACAAAACTAATTACAAAGAGAAGGGAATCATCCATTTAATTTATCATAATGCCCTCATCTTCTTCTTCTCCTTCCCCCTTATTTTCTTATATATATATATATATATTTATCTTTGTAACTCAGGCCAACACCCCTACTCCGGGAGTGGGTGGGGGCTGGGGGCAGTTGGGGCTACTAGCCACAGATTTACAGGGAAAGAACATTGAAGAAAGGAGAAGAGAAAAGATGAGGGTATTGGTAAATTGATGGGGGGCGATTTCCTCGTCTTTGTGATTAGTATTCTAACACCCATTTCAGCTGCAATTTCAAAATGTTTCAACGGATTTGTAATTTTGTGCCCCATTGACCTCTGATACATTATTTTCACTTCTTTATGTTTGTAATTTGACATTGGAGACTGTAGGTGCTAGTTGATCTGATGTTGAGAATTTTATCTGGCATATTTTCAAATAACTTTTGTCTTGAAGTTTAAATTAGTAAAGGTCTACGGTCTAAATAATCTAATGCTAGTATTGAGACTTTCATTAAACTACGAACGCAAAAATCATGCATCAAGAAATGGTCGGCCTACCTTTGCTTTGCTGATTTAATGGAAGTCTAAATTCAAAAAAATAAAGTAATATTAATTAAATTCCTGCCCACCGGAGTTATTACTGCTTTTGTTGTATATATTGGACTGCAGTCAATTAAGATTTTTGCTATAAATAAAATTTTGTTCAATTGCCCATCTGTTATTGCAGGTTTTTCATAATTCTAGGTGTGGTTCTGCTGGTAACCTCGACACGGCTAGTGCGATACCTTCCGAGGCCATTGCGGCGTATCGTGCAAAACAGTGTTGATAGGAATCCTGGCCTCAAACGACACGGGTCGCTCCATGCCAGGGACCCAACGAGTCCTAGTGCCATCATCCAGGCAACCACATTGCATCATTTGATGTCGTCACCCTCTAAAGAGAACGCTTGAATCGAAAATTGCAATGAAATCGACGTATATGATTGAATCTTGAATAAAGCAGCTATACTGGAAGGCATGAAGGCTTTAATATCACACCCTTCATAGAACAATCTCTCTTGCAATACTTGTTAATTTGTTTCTCTTCAGTCTTCCCCATACACGTACAGGTTATAGAATCCTTTGGAATGTGCCAGTAAAAATTTATATTTCGAATGGATTTTAGTTGTGATTTGGAAGTTGTTCTCTTCATTTAAGTTATTTTATTTTATGATGTATTGCTTGTACTACTACTACCTATACCCACTGTTAATGCTCATCTAACTACTTGTTCTTTGACTGACTTTCTCTCAGTCTCTAGCATTACTGAAAAGTGGTGTATGGTTTAGATTCAATTATTGTACGATGGAACCTACAGGCTACACTTGAAGTGAATTTCAACCGCACAATGTTTTTTGTGGGTAAATTTTGTGAGTTCCTATCATTGTTGTTGACAAAATTGTATACTTGAATGAGCACAATTATTATTATTATTATTACACTACAAGAAAAAGGAGTTATGGTGGCGTTTTTTTAATGACGTTTTTTTAAACGTCACTTTTATTAACATTAAACGACGTTTTTTAAACGTCGCATATATCTTTAAACAAAACGAGGCCGTTTTATAATAGGAGACGTTTAAAAGCGCCTCCAAATCCGTTAGCCTCACGCGCCTCCTTTCTCGCTCTATTTTGAAGCCCTTATTTTGAATCTGAGATGTTATACGCGCAGATCTCGAGCGAGCAAGCGATCTCTCTCTCTCTCAACCCTCTCATTCTCAGAGCCCATTTTGAAGCTGAGAATGATTGTTAAAGCCTTTTGTAAACCCTTATTTTGAATCCTCACGCCTTCAAATCGCGCCTCTTGCTCACCCCCAATTGTTTCTAAACCCTTGAGAGCGATTTCGATTCAGAACGATTTTCTTTGAGATTCAGATTCATACTGGTTCGTCTTTGAGATTTAGAGTGATTTTGATTTCATCTCAAAGCGATTTTGATTTTGAAGATCTCTTTCTCGATTTCAAAGCTCCACCGACTCTCTCTCTCTCTCTCTCTCTCTAGATCTGATTTCATCTTTGGCTGTGCTTGATTTCTCAGAGTTTCATCTTTGAGATTCAGACATTCAGATCGGTCTCAGAGATCTCAGAGCGATTTCGATTTTGAAGCTCTCTCTCTCGATTTCGAAGCTCCACCGCAACCACCATCTGCACCGCCACCACCATTTGCACCAGCGAGGTGTTGATTTCTCTCTCTCTCTCTCTCTCTCTCTCTCTCTTCCTTCCCGTCTCTCTCGATTTGGTTATTGAAATTTTTAGCAAGAAACTTACAAGTTTAATCAGGATTTGTGAAATGAAATGAATGTGCTCTAGGTATATTCATGATGGTGAGTTGGTGACTAGAGGAGGAAACTTATGGTCCATTTCTGAGATGTTTTTAATCAACATGGAGATGGTACAAGAATTTGTATATTTCTGTGAAGCTATTTATGAGTAGAATCCGAATTCACTATTAAGATTAGCTTACTATGAGATGATGCTTTGGATTAGAGTTAATAATGAAGATAAAATAACAGAGCTCTATGATTATATTGCAACTAATGATGATGGTGACAAACCCAACTTTAAAGGTTTGTAATTTAGCAGATCTGTTTTATTGTTGTTTAGCTTGTTTAATGAGATCTTTTGCTATATTTTTTCACAATATTGTATTGAAGGTCACCAGCCAAAGCTGAGTTCGGCTGGAACAGGTTTGTTGTTGATTTATTTCTTTCTCTATTTTCTGAAATAGTTTCTATGTGAAATGATTTTGAAATGATTTGATTTTTGTAACATCTGTTCTTTGATTGAAATGAGTTTCTGAAATAGTTTCTATTTTCTGGAGTGGGTTTCTGAAATAATTTTATATTTTCTGAATCTAAAATGGATTTTTGAAATGGTTTCCATGTTCATTTTGTTTTTGACAAGAGCCTGTGCCCGAGATGGTTTCTGAATCTATTTGGTAATTTGTTCTTTTTTATTTTTAATTCTCTTCTTTTTATTTTTGTTAACCTCCAAAATCCATATCCACAAATTATGCACAACACTTTCTCCGTTGGCTACTCTTGATTGCTGGAGGTAAAATTGTGGGATTGGTCAAGCAACCAACCATTACATGTTGCATCTAATAATCCAATAGTTGTATTTGATTTCTTTGAGATTATCCTTTTATTTTTGCTCTGAATCTTATTGTTCAAGCTGACTCCAAAATTAAGATTTTGCAGAGATAATTGGGGATTTTTTTGATAAAATTGTGGGATTGGTCAAGCAACCAACCATTACGTGTTGCATCAAATAATCCAATAGCTGTATTTGATTTCTTTGAGATTATCCTTTTATTTTTGCTCTGAATCTTATTGTTCAAGCTGACTCCAAAATTAAGATTTTGCAGAGATAATTGGGGATTTTTTTTGATAATATAGGTTGAGCCTGGGTTGCCATTTTTTTTTTTTTTCTTCTAATTTCTGATTTTTGGATTGATGGAGTTGGGTTATGATATGGATTTTTTTTAAAAATTTATTTATTTATTGTTTTGTTGGATTTTTACTTGACAAAGTTTTGTTTTCTATGTTGTTTTATTGTTGGCTCAATATCAATTTCATGCATTAGCTTTGTTTGGGTAGTAATATATTTTTTGGTGATATGTAATTAAAGTTGTAATACTTTGGTACTAACTAGATGTTTGGGATTTCTATTTAATTGTCCTGAATTTGTTTTCTTATTTTCAAAATTTTAATTTAATGCATATAATATGATAGTGGTGTTGGTGGTAGATAGTGGCATGTATAGAATATGATAGTGGTGTTGGTGGTAGATAATGGCATGTATAGAATATGATAGTGGTGTTGGTGGTAGATAATGGCATGTATAGAATATGATAGTGGTGTTGGTGGTAGATAATGGCATGTATAGAATATGATAGTGGTGTTGGTGGTAGATAATGGCATGTATAGAATATGATAGTGGTGTTGGTGGTAGATAATGGCATGTATAGAATATGATAGTGGTGTTGGTGGTAGATAATGGCATGTATAGAATATGATAGTGGTGTTGGTGGTAGATAATGGCATGTATAGAATATGATAGTGGTGTTGGTGGTAGATAATGGCATGTATAGAATATGATAGTGGTGTTGGTGGTAGATAATGGCATGTATAGAATATGATAGTGGTGTTGGTGGTAGATAATGGCATGTATAGAATATGATAGTGGTGTTGGTGGTAGATAATGGCATGTATAGAATATGATAGTGGTGTTGGTGGTAGATAATGGCATGTATAGAATATGATAGTGGTGTTGGTGGTAGATAATGGCATGTATAGAATATGATAGTGGTGTTGGTGGTAGATAATGGCATGTATAGAATATGATAGTGGTGTTGGTGGTAGATAATGGCATGTATAGAATATGATAGTGGTGTTGGTGGTAGATAATGGCATGTATAGAATATGATAGTGGTGTTGGTGGTAGATAGTGGCATGTATATAATATGATAGTGGTAGATAGTGGTAATATATAATATGTAAGTGGCATATAATGGGTTATAATGATGTTTGTAATATCTCCTATATAAGGAGTGTCATTTGGTCTTGTAAAATAAGAAGTTTTGAATATAACAGAAATATATTCCTTCTTCCTCATATTTTCGGAGTTCTTCTTCCTCATATTTTCTAAGTCTTATTTTCAAAATTTTAATTAATTTAGTTCTCTATTTCATGTTCAGAAAAGTTAAGAGCTTTGGTGGTAATGTGATGGTCAAAGTAATTAAATAACAGCAATGAGCTCTTCTTCCTTTGAGGGTAACTCTCAACTTATTATTGAAAGTTTTTGGTTTATGTTTTTTTATTTTAAAAAAATTGGTTATTTTTTATATTTGTCATATTTGTGAGTTAAAGGCTTAAAATTTTTGTTGGATTTTCGGTGATGAGTTTACAAAGTTAAAGATTTGTAAGTTAAAGTTTGCTGAGTTCTTACCTTACAATTTAACACTGAAGCAAACTCAAAATCAATTGTGTGATAATAACGTGCAGTCATTTTGAACATGATTAAACCATAGGGGACAGTCATTTTGATGAATTGTTTCTTGTTATTATCATGTTCAAAATGGACCATAGAAGATTATTGTTATTATCATGCTCAACCAGTCATTTTAAACATGATAGAAGAACATGATTAAACCTATTTTGGTTTTTTCTGTTTGGTTTTTTCTCATAAGGGAACACTTGGGACAAAGTAATATTTTATTTAAAAAAACTATGAAGCATTTATGGCCCACAATGTGTTGATTCCAGATTTCATAGGATTGTCATAATGTTATTGTTGCAATGCTTTTTGAAATATGTAGGTTCCAACTATGAAGCCATGGATCCAGAATTACAAGAGGCTGCTGCCTCAGCTGCGAGCAAGTTGTGTCTCATGGTAATCAGCTTGCAACACCTTCTTTCTTAGGAAATTTTGATTACAAAATTTAAATAGGAATTAAGGATTAATACTAAGTGGTTTTTTCCCTTTTAGATATTATTTTTTTAATATAAAATTGTAACTCTTTTATTTGTAATACTGTTCCATACAATCTCGTTCTCTTGTTCTCCTATACGGCTATACCTGAACAGAATGGTGAATGTTGTTCTCTTGTTCTCTTGTTCCATGTATCAAAATATTTGTTAGGCTCTCTCTTCTGACAAATTTTATTGCTGTAGTTCCTCCTATAAGCAAAGAGATGGGTTTCTTTAAAGGTGGGGCCCCATAAAAGATACCTTAGGCAATGTTCTGTAGCTTCTGAAGAGCATAAAAGAGGTAAGCATGGAAGGTCTTGTCATGCTTTTCAGTTATCAGTGTTTTAATAGGCTCCAATGCACACATTGTTTGAAGAATTATATCATTTTGGCATGAGATATAATGATGATGCTTCAAACTATTTTAGTTTCTGCAGACAAGTTGCTGACAACAGAGTCCAAACATATTGTTTTTTTTTAAAGGGTTTGCAGAAACAGGGCATCTTTTGATCTTCAAATAAATCTGTGTAAACTGTGCAGATGAGTTTGTATGAAGATCTTGTAGCAGCTTGGGTACCTGCAAAACATGAATGGCCGTGGCCACGCCCTTTAGGTCAAGAACTCGTCAATAGATTGAGACGATGAAAGATGTTCAGCTATTGTGCCTGTATGTTGAACATTGTTCCATTTATCACAATGATATGAGCAGTGATATTTCTTACTCTGTGTTTTCTTTTGTTAACGCTGCTTATTCTTATTGGCTCAGGTTTCAGCTTATATTGTTCATTTTAGTGAATAACTTTGTGTATGCTGGCCACGATTCTAAATCTAATCATACCTTTGTTTCAGTTTCTCTGTGCCCTAACCTTGCCCGTTGGAAAACTAGTCGTCAACTATGTTGAGCAGAACCACAAGGTAAGTAGTAACATTTTAAGCTTCAATTTTTACTGTAGAATTACAGATTGGATGGTTGTGAGCCCTAGTTGTTACGCTTTTTATAGCTGAATCAGATTAGTTCTCTATTGTGGTATTGAGACTTCATTCTTATAGGACAAAATGAAGATCTTTATGGCGAAGTATTACTGTGTGAGATTGCATGCTTTATTCGATGCTGGTTTGGCAGCTGGACTGGTAGCAGCCAAAACCATTGCTGGCAAATATGTTGACAAGACGGTTTTTCTCTGATTTTCCACTCCACAGATTTCAAAATTTGCCTGGTGAGCATACATTTTTGAATTCTTGCTATTATGAGTATTCTGTGAAAACAATTTTGGCTACACATCAAACACACATGTTCAAGTGAAATTGTGTTGCCAAGTGATAGTCAATAAAAAACCTTCGTTTTTACCAGTTACTCTAGTGACTAATCTCCAAAAAATTAGGTTTACTCTGGCAAAGAAGCAGGAGCATATTAGGTAATTAAAAATCTATTGTACCTTTTACCTTTTACATTGGTTTGGTCATATCATGTATTTAGTTCTCAATCTCATCAAGCAATTAAAATTTGAACTCTGGTATATGGATTTATCGGATCCATTCTGTTTGGTGTGTTGAAGACATCAATCTGTATTAACAATGTCTCTCACTAATTTTGTTTACATTGCAATCTTGAGCAAAAACCTGTGATACTCTTTAGAGTTAAGGTAATAAAACAACATTTAATTTTTATTATGTTGGACTGATTATGTTTTGCCTTTAACAGAGGACAAGCATTTTGCACTACTGCTGCTGTCCTGGGAGGAAGAGCTTGGCATCTCAGATATCTGAGAAAATTGTAATTTACAAAATTTTCATTTTTGTTGTATCACATTTGATGTCCTTTTTGTTAAATTAGCTGTAACCATGTAGTCTTGATTCCGATGCAGGTTGCACTTTCTCTACTCTTTAGAATTTGATAAGAGAGTATTGTCTTGAATCATGTAATTTGAGAAGTGACAGAATGGTGTTTTTGAATAGTTGGATTTCAGATGGAGTTGATCTTTGCTTATCAAAAAGACAAAAAGAAGTGATTGAAAGACATTAGATTTGAAAAATTAAATCTCATAGAAATAGCCCAATTTTGAGATGAGAAAGTGAAGGTGCATCAATTAGTTTCTTATGTCTTCTACTGATAATATGTCGGTGGTCCCTTTCTATCAATTGGCTCAAGATTGAAAAACTCTTGGATGCCTTTTCTAGTCAATGTAAAGAATAAGTGAATATGAGAGAAATATCAAGATTTAAGTATTTCTTTTTTACTATGGAATGGAGAACAAATGCATGTAAATGAAGGAAATAATTTGCATAGGCATTTGATTTAAGGATGTATGAATTTTTACAGATGTTAAATGAATGACCATATGATTATTGTGTTTTCAGTTAGCGTAAATGTCTATTTTTATAATATATTCTGTATTCTTTAAGAGTTGCCACTTTTTGAGTCCTTGACATGCTTTCCTTTTCCATTCAGGTTCTTTAATCGGTGCTTCCGATTGAAGATGAAGAAGTTTTGCTTGGACAATATGATGGCTACACTGATGACCCAACAGTTCTAGACAACTCAAATACTCCCACTTTTGCAACTATGATTCTGCGAATTCACAATGAAAGATGGGAAGGTGTGATATAAGATATCTACAAATTAATTACATATTCTTCATATTTGTATTTTTAAATTACTGTCGCAGTTGAGGAAGATAAACCTGTTGATTCTCTGCTCAGGAAACTATTCTTTCGCACATAATTCAGACTTACACTTTTGCAACTATGATTCTGCGAATTCACAATGAAAGATGGGAAGGTGTGATATAAGATATCTACAAATTAATTACATATTCTTCATATTTTTATTTTTAAATTACTGTCACTGTTGAGGAAGATAAACCTGTTGATTCTCTGCTCAGGAAACTGTTCTTTCGCACATAATTCAGGCTTAACCTCTACTCATGTTATATATTTCTTAAGCATTAGATTAATCAAAATGTAGTTCCTGACTCTGATATGTTTTGACTGCAATCTGTATGAATTGCTTGCTGCAGGTGTTCCGTTTATACTCAAGGCAGGGAAAGCATTAACTTCTAGGAAGGCAGAAATCCGTATTCAATTTAAAACCGTTCCTGGTGATATATTCAAATGTATAATCTCAGTCCTGCTTTTCAGTAATCTTCTGAAGTCTATATCTTGCTTGATTTGCATGTGTGATTGACGTCGGGGAAAAAAAAGAAGGGTCCTCTAATTGAAAAATAACAGAAAACAGGGTGTTCATGATAGTACATGAAATAACTGGACAATAGCTCGATGTGATTGTTAATTATCATGATGTGTATCCTCTACAGTTCCATGTACTGTTGCTTCAACGCACTCCATTTTTTTTGGCTTATGGTTATTTGGTCTATGCTGATTATGCATCAATTATTGGCTTGAAGACTGTCTTGTATAAATCCCATTTTTACTAGGTCAAAAGCAAGGAAGGAATGAAAGTGTAATCCGTCTGCAACCTTCAGAGTCCATTTACATGAAGGTTACGGTGGTATGTGATTGTTCACAGTATCTGCTTCAAACATCGCATTAATGTTTGCTGCTAAAACTTTTGAGTCCTTTGGTTATGAAACTCAGTTTACATTATAGAGATTGTTCTTTGTTTTGCCCGTGTGTGCTTTCTTGTCATAGGTTCTTTGACTAGGGCATGAACAAATTCACAATGTTTTAATTTTTTTGGTATGGACTGACACAGTAGTTTGAGATAATATGTGGATTAAGAGGATTAGTCTTTACCATTTTCTGTTGGGTTGGGGGAATGGGTAACGTAGGTATGTTAGACAGTTGAGAACTTGAACGTTAAGAGAAACAAGAAGAAGACAATAGGAGGAAAATTCTTGTCAGTTGCATCCAAATTGAATGGAGACCCTAACCTCATGGTTAAGTTACAATTCTTTTTTTTGTTGGCAATCAAAAAAAAAAAAAAAAAGAAAAAAAAGAATAGGCCTTATTGATTCTACATGTTCAATTTGAAAGTTGAGGATCTTGTTTAATGTGTGTTTTGCAGATAACATTATAACCTGTAGCTTTTCTAGTTCCATTTGAAAGTTGAAGTCTCATATACACTGAAGAAGGGAGCAGTGTTTTGAAATGATTTTAAGCACTGCAGAATTATTGGCATCTTTTCATTTAGCTGATTTTTTGTTGTCATGGAAGTAGTGTTTTCATTTATGCTATTTTTGCAAGTTCTGATTCATATTTCCCAATAATTGAATCACTTTGGTTGGATGAAACCATTTATTAATTACATTTTTTGGTCCAAGTAGAATTTGCAGGTTGTTTTTCACTTTGTTCTACTGCTGGGACATTTGCTGCTATTTTGGGAACAGTCGGAGCTGATTTTTTTGTTGAATTAAAATGGGTTCTTTCCAAGGATTGTTGTATTTTTCTGCTGCCCTATTCTGGAACTTATATTCTACTGGAGAGAGAGAGAGAGAGAGAGAGTCAATTTGTGTTTTAAGACAATTCTAATTGCCTTCTATATTAGATTGTTGTTGGATGATTGAGACCCCTGTTGCTTTTCTTTTGGAGTGGTAAAATGGCATGCTTTTTGGCCTTTTTGCTGTTTGTTTAATGAGAAATCAATAAACATATTGGGAAAACAACTATTTGTTCCTGCACTTCTCCCCAATTTACTTTATTATTTTTTCAGCACTCAATTGAGAATTTGTATTTGTGGAGATCATATGATATGCTTGTTTTAATTCCTTTGGTTTTGGGCATTTCTTGTGGATATGTATGTTGGGTGAATGGCAATGATAAGTTGGGAGTCTTGCACCACTGACTTTTATGTACATTAATGTAATAGGAAGGCTTTTAAACGTAGCAACTTCATATTAGTGTTATTTTTCAGTTTTATTACAGGATTTTTTAGTTCAATTACATAAAGCTAGCACAATAAAAAAAAAGGCTATCGCGGCGTTTCTAAAAACGTCGCTAAATATCACACAACAGGTTGGATTTCTCAAAAAGGGATACGACGGCGTTTTAAAACGTCGCTAAATAGCATGGTGACGTCATGTTAACGTTAGTAGAATTTTTAGCGACGTTTTTTTAAAGCGCCATAAAATTATAGCGATGGCCACGTCTTCGGCGTTGGTGACAAACGTCACAAAAGGTTTTGACGGCGTTTTTAGGACCTATAGCGGCGTTTTTAAGACCTATCGCGGCGTTTTTTAAACGCCTCTGAATCCTTGATTTCCAGCAGTGTTATTATTTGGGTGTACCAAAAAAAAAAATGAATGAGCAAATGAGAAAACAAACTTTGCCAAGAATATCAATCTAAAATTATTTAGCAGAGTTGGTATTTGTTAGATTGTACCAAATTGGTCAAATAGAACCTGTTGAATTTAAAAATAAAAACTGTATATTCTACGGCAAGTATAATAAGTCGTATTACATATTTTACGGCGCGCAATTAACGTCGTTATTTGTCTCACCAATTAACGGTGTGCAAAAATAGTTGTAGAAAAAGTAACGACGATGCACAAAATTTGTCATTAAAAAGTTTTTAACGGCGTACTATAGCATGTCGTAGAAAAAATAATAACGACGCACAAAATCTGTCATTAAATAGTTTTTAACGACATACGAAGCATGTCGTTGAAAGTGAATGACTTTCTATGACTAGTCATAATATGACGTGCGCCTACACGTCGTAGAAGGGTTTTTACGGCGTGCATTGAACGCCATAAAAATCCTTTTTTGTTGTAGTGTAGTTTCAACTACTATACCCCCGAAAAGACACATATGGTTTGTATCTAACAACAAAACCAAATTACTTCATAACAAAAACATCAAAAAAAATTCCCATAAACAAACACTACACAGCGATATAACTAAAACAAATTTGGGTGATAATGAAAGAAGACCACAAAAGTGTCATAACCAACCACCGAAAGAAAGTGTCATAACGACTTACACTACAAATTTAACCATCACAAAATCTCATAACCAAATACCAACATCCAAATACCAACATGAGTCATTATTAGGATCATAAATCTTCATAAGGCATATGATACATACCCAGTGCACATGAAGTTTGCCAAAAGAAATGACCCAAACTTCAAGAGGAGAAAAGTCGGTTCCAATTCTTATTGGTGGTATGAAGATATAATGCGTCTATACGCCTTCGATATTATAGCATATGCTGCAACTCCCAAAAAGATCAAAGAACAGCCAAGAAGCCACACGAAGAAGAAACCTGGAATGCTACCCAAAGTGAAATTTGGCAATTTTTCATTCAATATAACACAAAAAATGGCATAGAATCCAGTCGCAGTAACAACCACAAGAGCCCGGAGATAAAATGACCATTCCATAGCCATTTTCCATAGTGGAATCACTGTGACGAGAAAACCCGATGAAAACACAAATGTGAGCAATATGAACAAAAATAATTTAGGTGGCAACTTATTATGATGCCATATATCTCCAACTTTGAGTTTGAGCTTTTCACTCTCATGGTACGGAGTAGACCAAGTGCAGAGAGCTGCAAATGTAGCAGCTATCACTATGCCACCGAATCCCACCAATCCAGCTTGTTTTGTAATGAAGTTCGTTCTGTCTGCAACTGTATTGTTCTCCTGATTGCCACCTACTATGGCATTCTGATGATCCGATGGTTGCATCCTATTATCTTCGAGTTGAACCTGAATCACGTTTAACTATATTAGAAGAGCTTATAAGATTTAACTCATTATTGTTAAAATTTTCTATTGTTAATTAGGCTTTTTACACTTTTATCAAAGTTTCACTTTAATAGTTTTACTTTCAACTTTGAGAATCAAACTTTTACATTATGTCAAGTTGCAATATCATTTTTTATTCATATGTTTGATTAAAATTCATGAGCTCAAAGGATATTTTTCCAAAGAAACAAGTTTTTTTTTTTTGCTTCGCCGCCTCATTAGTGGTGGGTTTAGAGCCACTAAATTAGTGGTCTCTAGCACCATCGTTAAAAGTAGAACAACTAAAAATATATTATTCGAATAAAACAATTTCACTAATATCTTATTTTTAACGTTGTTCCACTTTTAATATTGTTTCTTATTTTTGTGCCAAAATGTTTAATTTGAATAAACGAAACGTTGTTCCACTTTTAATATTGTTTCTTATTTTTGTGCCAAAATGTTTAATTTGAATAAACGAAAGTAAAAAAAAAAAAAATTACAAACCTTTAGTGACATTTTAAAAATGTCACTAATAAATACACAAAACAATTTTGTGTCAAAATGTTTAATTTTGAGATGAAAATTTTGATCTAAAAAATATAAGGATAAATTACACTTACCTCCCCTGAGGTTTCTAACAAATACAGAGATTTCCTTTATGGTTTCAATAATTACAAAAACCTCTCCTACTTTAATTGACAATATCAAAATTTTCTCATTTTTTGACTGTCGTTCATACAACTAACAGAAATTGCTCAAAAATAAATATTGAAATGCCCATAATGTCCTCTAGTGTTTTGTTGAGAAAAAACAATACCCAATTCAAACAAAGAAATACCTAGTTCAATTGATTTTTCAAATCTATTTGTATATGCTAATTAGCGATAGGATGATTGAGAGAAAGCATAGAGAACGAGAACTAAACCCTTTTTTTTTTTTTTTTTAAGCTGAACTAGAACATATTAGAGAACTTTTTGAATCGAACATAGTCACAGTTTGTGCTTGTAGCAAACTCATATCTCAATCCAAATAATAACAGCCCATGTGTTTTTTGGGACAAATTTAAGAGAATAATTACCCAAGATTTTAAAAGAAAGAAAAAAAGAATTGTGCTTGTACATAAAACTGTGAGAGAGACCTGAGGTACGCCGTCAGCGTCTTGGTTGCCATTATCTTCATAGTTCTTGTTCTGGTTTTCATCCATGTCACCTCTCTCTCTCTCTCTCTCTCTCTCTCTGTCTGTCTTTCGTAGTTTTAAGACGGAAAGGGAATTCCTGGGTGGGTATTGATACGAAGGAAGGAGGAATTTTTGGGTGTGGGGAGGGTAAATGGCATGTAATACCTTTTTCTACTGTAATTGGATTTGAGAATGAGGTCTATTAAGCCCGTTTTGTTTTCAGAATAGAATGGAGGGAATTCATAGTGACGGAATTAATAGTGAGGGAATTGTTAGTGAGGGGATTAATAGTGAGAAATTGTTAAATTATTTTTATATAAAATAATAAAACAAATAAAAAAATATAAAAAATTAAACATTATATTTAAAAAAAATTCCCAATATATAAAAAATAAAAAAAATAATTTTTTTTAATCCCCTCACTATTTTTCTAATACCATCTCTACCTCTTCATTACCAATCCTCCTTCCTCCTCCTTAATAATACCAAGAGATTACTAATCCCCTCCTTATCTCTCAAAACAAACACTCCATTCTCAATCCCCTTCTCACTACCAAACCCAATCCCCTCCCTATAACCCCAAACAAACGGGGCCTTAGATTTAACCCTATGTTTGAGAACTTAGGAGAGAAAAGAAAAAAAAATGATTACTTAAGTTATAAAAGAAAAGAGAAAAAAAAAGAAATGATTGTGATTCCTCTCCTTCTTCTTTGGATAAATATAAAATAAAATAGATGAATAAGATTTCTCTTTTGATTAGATTTCATAAGAAAAAAGAAAAGAAATTATTTTATGTTATATTATCAAATAACCTTTTTATATTTTCAATCATTTTATTTCTTTTATTTTAAAACAAAATACTATTGAAAATGAATTTACTTATAATAATGATATTGTCACATTATTTTTATTAATTTTTTGAATAAATTTTATATATGTTAAGAATTTTTCTTATTACGAATGATATGGTAAACCCAATATGATATGTAAGTTTGATTATTATAACATTATTGAGGAAGTATATATTTTCAGGGAGTTCTAATTTAAGTTAAATCTTCTAATGTATTTTGATTTTATATCAATTATTTTTAATTAATGAAAATGTATTTCTTATTACATCGGTCCCTTTCGCATTAGTTTGAAAAATAAATAGAAAAGCTGAAGCTGACACGCAAGGAAGGTTCGTCGTGAGCGGCAAATTTCCACGTCGTTTGATTATTTGCATGCGACATTTTTTAAAATGAACTTGGCCATCAACATATAATTTTATAATGTTGGGATTCAAATTTCTTTCTATTTGTCCACTTCAAATAACCTGTCTTGACAAGTTTTCAATCTAAAATTTTATTTATTTTTAATAGGAATTTGGTTTTTTCAAATGAACTTGGCCCATCAACATATAATTTTATAATGTTGGGATTCAAATTTCTTTCTATTTGTCCACTTCAAACAACCTGTCTTGACAAGTTTTCAATCTAAATTTTTATTTATTTTTAATAGGAATTTGGTTTTAGTTCATGATTTGAGTCGGAGGTTATTGTTCGTTCATCACGAGTTTAATTTCGATAATGTAAACTGTTCATTTTATAATTTTTTTGTGTATACATAATAAAATTAGATCGATCTAATATATATATATATATATATATATATACCTTATTCAATTTATTACATTTATCACCAAATGATAAATGAGCTGATTTTAAAAAGGTACTTGTATTGTTGTTGGAGGTGAAGAAACTGCGCATAGCCCCAAGGACAAAAAGATCCACTCATTCAATTTAACGCATTTTTTTTTTTTTTAAAGAAGAGAAGTGTAAATAATAATCTTATTATTTATGGAGGTTTTACGTTTGGGCAATTAATTTTTTATTTGTAAAAAAAAGTAGTAAGGCGCAAAAGTCATGGAATGAATATTTAAAGGGCCTATTTGGTAGACCTTATAAGCTATTTATTTCAACATTTAGCTTAATTTAAACTAAAATATTGTGTTTGGTACAACTTAAGTTAACTAGCTTATAGCTTAAATCAACCTATATTTTTTATTATCTCAAAAGCTGGTTAGGGGGTGCTTAAGATTTCGACTTAAATGCGCAGCTAGTGTGGGGGGTTAAAATTACTTAAATGCCCTCGCCAATACCTAACTATTACCAAAAACCTAACTATATAAGTCCCATTTCACAAAATACTGTTCTTTGCACACTTGAGAAAGAGAGAGAGATAGAGGCGATTTCTGGCAGAGATTTCCAGCAAGAGTGATTTCTGACAGAGGCAAACCAGAGTTCTCTCTTTGCTATCTCTTCTCTCTCTTTTCGTGATCTCTCTCTTTCTCTCTTTCTCTCTTTCTCTCTCTCTCTCTCTCTCACGATCTGAAACTCTTTCTCCTTCACCATCGTCGTCACGATTTAAAACCCTAACCTGAGCATCGCGATCTAGTCGAAGAACCAAAGGTCTCTCTCCCTCCCCCCCTCTCTCTCTCCTCTCTTCTCTTCTTTCTTCGTGATCTCTCTCTCTCTCTGCCTCTTTCGTATCTTCGGTGTTGTTTTGACGGTGGCTAGGTCATCGACGGCGACGGCGACGGCGAGCCATCTCCAGCCTGTACCCAACATTAAGATAAAAATATATATATAAATAACAATTTTTATATTAAATCACACTAAAATAATTTTTATACTAAAAATACCAAATAATATATAAAATATATATATATATATATAATAACAATTTTTATATTAAATAACAAATAATATGTAAAAAAATCACGACATTAATATAAATTAGAACATGAATATTAGTTGGTATTAATTTTAATGAATTAACAAATTAAACAAAATTAACAAAGAAAGAAGAGAAGGAAAAAAAAAAAGAGAAAAAAAAAAGATTGATATAAATTTATTTCACAATTAATATTGATATAAATTGCACAATTTATTTCAATTAATATTGATATAAATTTATTTCAATAAAATAACTTCTATTAAAAGAATTTTATATCGATATAAAATTCTTTGGTGTTGTAATTAAAAAAAAAAAAACAATTGTTGCTAATTGATATTAATGAAAAAAAATGAAATAATAAAAAAAATGAAATAACTTTTATTAAATGAAATAACAATTGTTGCAATAAAATGTATCAATTTTTATATTAAGTGATACTAATTATATTAACTTTCATTAATGAAATAATTTTTTAAAAAAAATTAAAACTGAAGAAAATGAAAAAATAACAATTTTTATGTTCATAAGGCAAAAATAACAATTACATAGTAAAAAATTATTTTACAACTTATTTACCAAACACAGCTGCACCAAACAGGTTACCAACTTATGTTAAGTTATAATCTGTTAAGTTATAATCTATAATCATTTTCTCACGGCTCTACCAAATGGGTCAAAGTCTTTTTCTATTACCTGCTCTAACTAACTTCAAGAAAAACGATTATACGCGAACCACCTAAATAATGCATAGACACATAAAGTTTGTTTGGGAATAACATTTTTAATTTGATTTTTTTTAAATTTTTTTTAGCTAATTGAGCTTGACATTAGTTTTGTTTGGAAATAATTTTTCGACTATTTTATTTTTTGTGAAAAAAAATAATAATTATAATTTAAATATGATATTTTATCTTATTAATTTATTTTACTTATTTTATCTTTTTATATATTTTTTTAAGTTCCCGCTCAACCCTAATCCATTTGTCAAACGACAGCCTACTCTAGATATTTTATCATTTACTTAGCCTCCGTTTGGGAAGTGGGTTGGCTTTTTGGCTTTTTGACTTTTTTGAATATTTTAGCCTGGGCTAAAAAGTTTGGTTTGGGAAGGGCTTTTTGGCTTTTTTGACTTTTTTTGTGAGAGAAGAATGTAATGATTATGGGTTGGATGTGATGTTTTGTTTTTTGTGGCTAAAATAACCTATTTTATTTTTTGTGGCTAAAATAGCCAAAAAAGCCCCGTTTAGCTCTTGCCAAACGGAGGCTTATTATGCATTGATACAATCACCAATCAAAATTATGAAACCAAAGTAATCAACGTAACCGCCACAATCAAGTTCAACAGGGTAATCAATGTGCAAATCTCATAGTAAATTTTAGCAGCAGATTGAACACGTAGGTGTTCATATTTTATATATCACTTTATATATTATCAATCAATTGGCATTGAATGTGGAAAGCATTATGTGCACTAACTCATTTAAGTTTTAATGCAGTACCTTTTAATTAAAAGAAAAAAAATTCAAATCATACATATACTAAGTGAAGGACTCAGTTAATGTAGTGAAATCTTACTCTTCTCATGTCATGTGACATATTTTTAATCTTAAAAATAAAGAGTTATACAATGACAAGGTTTGAATCCAAATCTTAAACTTTATTAAGAAGCCTTTTACCACTTACACAGCATACATATTATAATACTCCCTCCGTCCCAAAATAATGGTCCCTTTTGGGGAATCCAACTTTTTTTGGTAGTACAATTATTGTACTTTTAAAAAGTTGGTTTTTCAAAATTACCCTTTGATAGTACACTTTTTTGAGAATATCAATGTCATAATTGTACTTTTTATATTATTTATGAATTTAAAAGAAGGGCAAAATGGGAAATTTATATTATTTTTGTACTTGATTTTTGAAGATGGACTAATATTTTGGGACAATGAAAAATGGAATAAGGGACTAATATTATGGGACGGAGGGAGTATTAATTAATTTATTATTTATATATTTTTTTACTTGTGTAAATTACACACACATTACGTGTGTTATCTGCTAATATAAGTAAAATATAGCTTTACAATAGAATATTCTAAATGGCCTTCATGTGTCAATCTAAACAGTTGACATGTGCCATTATTAATTGAGAAACTTAATGAAAATTAAAGTAAAATCACAATGCAAAAAGTCTTAGTTTCTTCTCTTGGTCTCTGTCTCCGTATTCGTCTTCATCTCCATCTACCTTCAAACCCTAAAAACTCCAACCTACTACACATTCCTCCTAGACACGAACCCTAAAAACTCTAACATGTTACACATTCTTCCTAGACGCGAATCTACCGTCACCAAGCCCCACTGCAACCCATCTCTTCTTCTCAACCATTGTTGTCACCGGATCTCCCC